TTTTAGACTTAGGATGAGTCGATACAAAGAAGCATGCATCAATACATGTAGTGTTGCAGACTCAGTATGAGCCGATACAAGAGGATTGCGCATCGACTCATGTAGGATGTTAGCCCAGTACGCGTCGACTCAAGATGTTATGCATCGATCCATGTAGTATGATTTTTGGCAGATTCGTTTCTAAAGGCTGTAACTTGAGTTTCCGGACTCCGTTTGAGGTGCCGTTCGAAGCGTTGGATAGCTAAAGCGATAAACTTAATTCTTAAGGATTAAAATGAAGGATAATAAGAATAATCCTAGTAGCACAATTTAGGACTAGAGTTAGCTTCCCGCGTTAATCGCTATGATGATTTTGTGAAGTATGATGAGGATAAGATGATTATAGATTATTGCTTGGTTCATAACAGTAAGATTAATGATAATAATGATGTAGTATTACAGAATAATATTATGTAGAGGTTTGGTAATTAGAGATAAGTCTTAGATGATTAATTAATTAATTAATTATAGGCGTTATCCTGTTATAGGCCTATGGCCAACGTTGAAGGATTGTCGATTTGTCGTTGTATTGTTGTTATGGCTGAGTTGCTGTGAAAGATGTTAATAAACTATGTTGATGAATTATGTTGATAAATTATGTTGATGAATTATGTTGATGAATTATGTTGATAAATTATGTTGATGAATTATGTTGATAAATGATGATGATGAATGATGTTGATGAAATGATGTTGAGATGCCTCTAATAATTGGCAGCTATTAAGATGTAGGCTTCTGACCAACGATGATGTGGTGTTAAGATGTTGCTAATTATGGTTGTTGTTACTACATTCATGATTGTGTCGTATACATTGCATATCAAGATGGAGTTGATGCTCATTAAGAAGGTTTGTATTGACGAATATTAAGATGAAGGCTTATGCCTTGTTGATGCATCAATTATTGGAAATTATTTTGAGATGGGAGTTCTGCTCCAATGGTACCACATGCATTTTCATAGTATTGAGTCACATTATATGATTGCATAAAGAAGTTGTGCATTGATGCGATTAATGTGTATATTATTGGTATGCCGTTGCGATTATTGTTGTTTATAAGATGAGAAGTGGTGATGTTATGTGATCTAATTTAATATATTATTTATCATACATTTTATTATATTATTAGATATATCACCCCTTCTGTTTGAATGTTACCCTTATGTTGGTAACGTGTAGGTAATCCAGAGTGAAGGCAATATACTTTTGGTAGTTTGAGTCGGTGTCATTGCTCTGATACGTAACACTCGGGGGGTTGGACGCTTGTTGTTTTAATTATTGATTATTTCAGTTGTTGAACTTTAATTTGATTGTTGCTAAGTATGTGTTATTTTAAAGTTGCTGTAATTGTTGGACAAAGATGTTATTATGATTCCGCTGCATAGTTTTTCAACTTGTTGAATTAAGAGATTAAATTATTTTACTGATGGTTCATCCGAAGTTTTAAAGTGTTATGTATCCACGTTGAATGCAATGTATTTTTAAGTTGAATTTGTGGCATCCTGATTCAGTTGTATGAATTTTATAACTCTGATTTACATTTATAATTGTCGCGTAGAATTGGGGTGTTACACCTTACCTTACTCTTGTAAACTGGACTCGCTTATGAGTCTTATCCCTTTTCTCTACGTCCTATAATTTCCTTATTTTTAACTCATTTTTATGCATAAAAGTACACCCTAACTATTTGGTCAACCTATGAATTCTAATTGTAACACCCGTACTGCTTTTGGGATTACTGACTGACCCCACAAACTAACATGGGTCTTTTCAGCATGATTTATCCTCACTCACACGTTTTTTGGGAAATTTTCCAAAAGTTCACCCATCCCAAAATTACTCCAAGTCAAGCACGCTTAACTGTGGAATTCTTATGGAACAGGCTACCGAAAAGAAGATGTATCTTGTTGATATAAGTAGTACCTATCAATCCTTATAAGCCTTCATTCAACTATGCATCCATTTCCCTGCACAACCTCAGGATCCCTTTCATTCCAATATGGTGACCACTCCTAGTCCTCTTTGGCCTCAAGTGTTACATGTGGCGCAACCACTCTTTACCCTCTTCGGCTTCAGGTGTTACACTAGTAGTCACTCTTCTTACTAACACATCATAAACCCCGACTAATTATGGTACCCGAGTCACAAAAAAAGGACAACCGAGAAGACGTGTTTTCAAGTCAAACCAGTAAAGGAAAACCTTGTAATTTGTGAACTCAAGCCACCCTCGAATAAATGCATATGAATATTATCCTAAAAAAAAACCAATAGGAACACAAGGTTCACCAATACCTTATTCCTGAGGAGGAGTGAAGAAAACCAATGTCATCTTATCTGAAATAGAATTGGAGCATGAGTCTGTCACCCATGCTTCACAAGGAAAATCTAAAGTAACAAGGACCAAAACCTAATGTTCATTTGTAGGTTGAGGAGCATCAATAATTATCGCAACATGTGCCAAAATCTAAGAGTCAACTGTGCTTCTAGGGTCTTGTAGTTCTATAAAGATGGATAAATAATATTGGATATCACCTGATAAAAAGGAGATGAAACTGGAGAGGAACGAAACATGCTACCACCATCTTGGTTTTCGGGTTCTAAGTTCTCCAAGTCTCCTTCTTCTACTTCAAGAAATGCAACCATCACAACACCACCGTTAGGGAGCATGTCTCTATCAACGTAATTCCCATTCCAATATTTGATTATTTTGAAAGCTTTATAACATTCATTCTTTGTAAAGTCTATTGTATTGAAATTATGTGTATCAACTTTTTAATAAGCACTTTGTAAACACAAAACTTTGTAACTTAACCAGGTTGGTTAATATCCTCAATTGACTAAAGGTTTAGTCAAAATCCTCAAGAAGACTTAGACGTATAGTCTTTGTGGTTATAATTAAAGGGTATTAGATTAGTATATTAAGTCCTTCTTGATAAGGCAAAATCACATGAGAAAGGTGGACTGGAGGTAACCTAGTTAATTGTGAACAATCATAAAATCTTGTGTTCTTTATATTTGTTTTTATTTTGTTGTTTGAGCTTGGGTGTTCGAAAAAGTCTTAAATCTTGAAATCAAATTCAAACTCCCATTTCTTGTGTTTCATTGAACCTTCAATAATTTCCTTATTTCTAACTCATTTTTTTTGCCGAAAAAGTACACCTAACTGTTTGGTCAAACTATGAAAACCCCGACTAATGATGGTACCTGAGTCACAAAAAGAGGACAATGGAGAAGAAGCGTCTTCAAGACAAACCGATAAAGAAAAACCTTGTGAACTTAAACCACCTTATGGTGAAAACAAAAAACAACATGGATACAAGGTTTAACGATACCTGATTCCTCGGAAGGAGTGGAAAAAACCAATGTCATCTGATTTCGAATAGAATTTGAGGATGAGTTTGTCACCCAAGCTTCACAAGGAGAAAATAAAGTAACAAGGACTAAAACCTAATGTTCATTTGTAGGCCGAAGAGCATCACTAACTGTAGCAACATGTGCCAAAATTCAAGAGTCATCATATGCTTATAGAGCCCGGGAGTTCTTTAAAGACGAAAAAACAACATCGGATAACACCTGATCAAGAGGAGATGAAACTGGAGAGGAATGAAACAAGCTATCTCTATCTTAGTTTTCTGGTTGTAAGTTCTTCAAGTCTACTTCTTCTACTTTTAAGAAATACAACCATCGCTGACCCCAAAGAGCACTCATCATCTTCTTTCCTATGAAGCACAGACTCTGACACAGATACTGTGACACGACACGACACGACACGACACATACACCGGAGATATCTATAATATCAAAATACATGACAATGGCAACACCACATATATGATTGTATTTAAATTTCATTCATCTATTATTAAAAGAGTTATAAATTTCTTAATTAAAGTTATTGTTTTTAATTTTTTATTGATAATATTATTTTAATACTTGTTTAACCCTTTCATATGTGTGATATTTGTCTTTAAAAAATGTCTAAAGCGAGTTGAAACAAAGAAAAAATAATATTTTTTAAATATTTGTTAAAATTGTCCGACATATGTTGTATGAGTATAATATGAGTGTCACACACCAATTTAAGAGTGTCTAAACAAAGAAAATTAATCATTTAATTGAAAACATTTGTTTGACTTTTTTGACAATTGTCTGATTGTTTTTCAACATGTATCGTACCTATGTCTTACAAGCGTCGGACACCAATACATGTTGGACGCCGCGACACACCTACTCCTAAAAGTATATGTGCTTCCTAGCTTCTTCCTCCATTCCCGTTCAAGATCTGAGCCGTCCACACCTACTTCATCTACACCATGGTTATTCAAGCTATACACCAAACTTCCGTCAGAAGCATCTAGTTCCTCCACCGCCCTTACAGGAAAAATGATTTGCGCCAAAAGATAACAACACATCAATAAGCTTTCCAAATGGAGCCTTTACTTTTACTCTTTCTGATTCAAGCTGGACTTTAAACATAAAGCAGGAATCCAAAGAAATCACCTTACCAAAAAGGTTTCTAAGTTTAGAGAATACATTTTCAGACCAAGCATGAACAGGTAGAGAGGGATGTCAATCAATGGTTAAGAGTGTTGAAGAACTGCTGCCAAAAACATAGATTAAGGCATCTAAAAAGTTACCAAGGTTCAATATAGCGGGTGAACATTTTTTTACCAATATAGTGGCTGTACTTCACAAATAAATATGAATCGTGCTGATCGAGCATAACAAACTAACAATATACTTTGATTTTGAAATACTTCTCTTATACAAACGTGCATTTATATGAACATTATTGTAATTGTAACTACAACATTGAATTTGAATGCAAACAACCTGAACTTGGATCTTTTAATTTCCCTAACAACGTAACATATGCTACTAACTACAGGACTGCAACATTTTCATCAGAGACCAAAACTTGTTCAAATTAGAAACCTTTCAATCCAAGAGAACATACTCTCGTTACGAATGGTGCTCGACGATCCACTCTGGAGGTGGCCAGAATAACTTGAAGTAATCCGGATAATCAGACAGAGGGGAAACCCGATCTTGATCCAAATGAAAAATGCGCATTCTGGACTCGACTTGTTCAATACTGTGGAAATTATAATCCCTGCTATAGATGATACAATTTCCATTGCCAATACACAGATTTGAAGCAGAAACACAGAAGGAACAGTCATCCCCCATAAACAAAACCCTATTCTCTAAACTCCTCAACTTGATCCATCTCTTATTCTTTTCATCAAGTCTGAATACATCAAACCTTATACCATCTTCATCAGCAGAGGTAAGTCCATGGCAATCCACTAACAACAATGACACACATTCACTCTCCACCACCAAGAACTTAAACTCAGCACCATACACCGGGTTGGCGAGCAAGTGGACGCTGTAATCTGATTCAATCATGACAGTGCGACCGTTTTTATCAGCCACGCAAAGCTTCCCTTTGAAAATGCAGATGTCTCCCCACAAGGATCTTTCAATGGTGGGGATACTCTTCCAAGAACCTACCCCGTAACGGAGAATCTTCAGCTCTTGAAAGTTGTCGTATGTCATGAGATCAAGAGGTTTTCCTCCTCCCTTACCTGTTGCAACAATCACCTTACCATCATGGACATATCTATCTGGCGAATCGGCTTCGTGGATGCGGAACTTATGTTCAAGATCAAGTACTGGGAGATGGTTGAAGTCGATTAAAGAACGAGCTAAATAGAAAGGAGCGAATAATAAAGAACTTTGGCAACCGTCAAAGGGGTGCCAGAGATGAAGATTTCCGTTCAAGTCTCGACCGATTCTGATCAACCAAGGGCAAAGAGTTTGCTGGTGCTGCGGTGGTTTGATGAGATAGATGTGTTGTTTGGAGAGGCGGCGCACGTAAAAGACTTCGTCGGAGTCAGGGAATTCCGGAAGCTCCCAAGATGAATGGTTGTTAGGGTAACGTGGGGTACAATCTCGCCACCAAGAACACACAGAACGAAAGCGGAAAATGTAGATTTCACTATTGAGTCTTTCTGATATTTGTTCTAGAAGTTCTGGTGGAAGACAAGACCAATCTGCCTTGGCTTCTTTTCTGGACGGTGTGGAAAGGTTTGGATGCGGTGGTTGCATGGCTGCTTTACTGAACGGTGCGGCGGAAAGGTGTGGTGGCGATGGTTTCATCTCAACGGAGTTGGTTATTTAGTTAGAGAGAAAACTGAATTTGTTAGTTACTATTTCTCACTTTCTCTCAAACTATCTAAAGACATGCATGCATGAATACTTCACTATAAACAAATTTAATATCTTCTTTTTCATCATATATGAGAATTATTATTCAAATTTGATATTCCAATCTCTTACTACTAAAAATTAAATTATATATTATTTTTTTATTTCAGTTTGATTCTTCAAAATTTTAAATTAACATATAATTTCAAAATTTTATTTTATATGACAAAATTTAATTGATACATATCATAAGAGATAAATTACCTATAAATTTAGATAATAAAAAACTTACCAATTCAAAAAGATTTGTGGTTAATAAAAAGAACTCACTATTTCCCAGCAAAAGCTACTCTCATAAATTTTAAAACTCAAATTGGTTGTTATTAATATCTAAAAAAACTCAAATAGAAAATTTTATTTTAGGAAATCTTATTAATTTAGGATAGTAAATATTTTTTAAAAATTAAAATTTTTTAAATTGTGGCAATTAAAATAGCCATACATTTTTATTTAATTTTGAGCAATTGTGACTAAGGCAGCAGCCACAAACATTTTTTAATATATTTTTTGTTTGGAAAATTCTATAGTAAAGTCATTAAAGTGACTTCATTCTAACCGATCAGAATTATGTCCTAAGTCCTAAAATGTCACATAAGACTGTATCATTTATGTTACTTACTGTAGTAATTTTATAATTATGAATATTATAATTAAGTCTCTAACATATTAATATTATTTTAAAATTTTAAAATTTATAATGAAAATAAATTAAAATAAAACTAATTAGAACAACTTTAATTTAATCTTCCTCGTTACATCAATATCATATTCATCTTCACTATCTAACCTGAACTCCTAACTTTGTTTTCGTCTCCCGTTTTTGAACAACCTGAAATTATTCATCATGTTCGTCCGTCATTTTTTGAACATCGCAAATTTATTCATCATTCTTATTTTCCGTTTCATATACTTTGCCAACACTGCAGAAGAACATCATCACAACATTCATCGTGTTCGTCCCTATTCTTTTGAGGCTATCTCATTCAATCGCTCACCAAACATAACATGACCAATAATCTGATTGTGTTAGTATTGAGCACGCGTTTGCTAAGGTAAATTCGAAAATGTGTTATATTTCTTTGAAATTAATGATTAAGATTAATTGATTTCAAATAAAGTATATTTGGAAGTGTTAAATTTGATTTCAAATTGGGAATATGCCTGAATTTGTTTTACTTACATGGATTTAATATTTGATGATTTCAAAATTTCAAATTTGGTGGTTAACTTTGAATCAGGTCCCTTGATTTAATTAAGAAATAAGGAATTGAGATTGATGTTGAGTTTTGTTGTGTTAAAAATTGTGATAATTCAGATTTAGTGTTAAATTTGATTTAAATTTTATGAACTAAGGTCTATGCTTGATTTGAATAGGAAATTAGTACTGTGGTTTATGTTGGATTTTGGCGTGTTAACAAATGTGTTAATTCAGGTTTACTATGAAAAACTATGACCATTATGATTCTAACGATGTTTGATGTCGTGATAGTGATACGTTTGATGTTGAATCGGACTATACTCAGGATGACAACAAATCGGTGTCCAGTGCATTCCAAAGTCAGATGGTGGTGATGGCGATGGTAATAGTCACAACGAAGATTTTATTGAATTAGTGCGTTATACCTCGACAATAGATGCGAGGTGAATAAGGTCATCATAAAAAGTAAAGACTTATCACCTCCCGAGGAAAAATTTAATAGCGCGTGTGTTCGAACCCTAGCAGCAACAACTTTTATTATTTTTAAAACTAACATATCTTTTATCTCGGATTATCAAAATAACCAAGGGGTTATTAGTTTTTTTATTTTTAATAAAACTCGTTACATTGTTTACACTGAACATTAATAAAATAATTTTTTTATAAACTACAGTGTTTATCCAGAATATTACATTTTTTACATAGAAAAAAATTATTTCTCCATGAAGATCATATGTTGGATCTTCAATTCCTTGATATTCTGGGCAAGATCAAATGCATGGGAAAATCTTTTCTCCCAACAAAAAATGGGTATTCTCTATGACTTTTGCTTGCATTTGTTTCTGATATGAACAAAAAAACTGTTAAACAAAAAAAAAGGCTTAGATAAATAAATAATTTTCTGCTCAAATAAATACTTAAGAACAAAAATCTTAAACCCAAATAAATTTTTGCTCTTGCAGTCCATCATAGAGAACTATTCATGACACTATGCCAAAATTAAATTTAGACAGCGCCACATAGACAGCGCTTATGCCATAAGCGCTGCTATAGGTTTTAAAAATAAAAAAAAATTAAAAAATTAGAGTAAGTGCTGCTAAAGGTATACCTTAGACATCGCTTACTAAAAGCGCTGCTAAAGGCTTTATCATAGCCAACGCTTCCTTTCCCTAAGCGCTGCTATAGGTTTTCAATAAAAAAAAATAAAGAAATAAAAATAAGCGCTGCTAAAGTGTATACCTTAGACAACGCTTACTAAAAGCGCTGCTAAAGGCTTTATCATAGCCAGCGCTTCCTTTCCCTAAGCGCTGCTATAAGTTTTCAATAAAAAATAAAATAAATAAGAATAAGCGCTGCTAAAGGGTATACCTTAGACACCGCTTACCAAAAGCGCTGCTAAAGGTGTGATAAAAGGTATACCTTAGACAGCGCTTTCAAGAAGCGCTGCTAAAGGCATTACACTAAAGCGTTGCTAAAGGCATTACACTAAAGCGCTGCTAAAGCCTTAAAGTGCTGCTAAAGGTAATACCTTTAGCAGCGCTTCTTGAAAGCGCTGTCTAAGGTAATTAAAAAATTTCTAAATCCCTAAATTGGTTATCAGAAACCCCACTTTATACAAAACCCCACTTTAAGCGCTTCTTGAAAGCAATTGTTCATCTTCGTCTAACTCGTCTCCTCCCTCCTCACCGTACACGTGGTTCATCTTTTTTTCCAACTCGCTTCGTTCGGATTCGTTACCATCATCTCCACTATAAGGTAAAATTTCTTCATCCTTCTAAATTTTGGATTGATAGTTGTAGTTACAGTGATTTGTTTACCAAGAATTTATTTTTAGGTTTTGTATCCCTGCCATTTCTTTCATCCAAAATACCCCCTCCCATCATATCACGAGCTTCTTCTCTAATCAAAACAAGCCTTGCAAGCAGTTTTCGATCAGGCACAACAGGACGAGTCTCCATTGTCTGCAAACATAAAATTCGACACCAAACAATTAGCCATAAGGTGTCTATAATTCATGTGGTTTCCTTGCTCAAAACTTCAAATAGAACGGATCTTTATAACTCAATTCAAAGAATAAAAAATGCAACCCAATATTTCCGAAAGCTTCTGCTAGAAAAACAAGAAAAGAAAGACATTTCTCTTGAAGACATTGAAATAATTTTTCGAAGAAAAAGAAATAGATAGAAAACAAAAAGTATAAAATATAAGTGAGCCCTCCAATATTGAGAACCTCTAAACAACTTTAAAGAAATATTAGTACAAAACAATTTAAAGATTAAATAATTGAATGAAGAACCTAGTAACTCCTATAATACTTGAAGTTTATATCAATACCTCCAATAAATCATCAGCTTGGTTAGCTATGTCATTTAAAATTGCCCCAGGGATATGAAACTTCAAGTCATTCTCGCCTTTAAACGAACCACCACCAGCTGCTACTCGGCGTAACAATTCATATCTGCTTTCCTTTTTAGGAGTTCTACATAGAAGACCAATTACTTGAACCTAAAAGATGAACGGAGAAGTGCACGTTACATTAGTATACAACTCACAACTGATCAGAAAAGTATTCAAGAAGTGACTCAGAGAAGTTCCTTACCTGGGGTGGGCATTTTTTAGTTAGATGTGATAGTACCGTCTCTTTGATAACTTCCAACAGTGACTTGCGCTGCACGAAAATATATTCACATTTAATTCCCAGCCACAACTTTATGACAGTTTGTTTGCTCAACAAAATATAAATTGGTCTTCGCGTAAACAAAGCTTTGGTGGGTTTCTCTCTACTCTGATATGTATTGGCGTTACTGATCTAACAAAAGTTTAGTTTGAAAGTCACACCTTATCATCCTGGTCCTGCTCCGCAAGCTGGATCATGTAATCAAAGGCCATCATGAAATCAGATTCCATCTGATCAACTCTCTTACCAATAACTCCTTGATAGTTGTAGCTAACTGCCTTCCAGCCCCTGTTTTTTCGTCCAAAGCATTCTCATGCTTTTATACTTTTGTTTTGCTTTTATTGATGCATGGAAGTAAGAATTCTTCCCATCTCCAAACTTTAGCCAATCAATTTTTGCCCTTTGAATCAAAACATGTTCTTTTAGCTCATGCCATTTTATAAGCTCCTCATTCAACTTTTTTACATTCTCGATTTTGTGGATGTTCATTCTATCATTAATGAGTTCCTTCTGGGCCTGCAATGGTTATGTTCTAGCCTTCTTGACTGGGTTATGATTTTATGATAAAGTGTTATGTTTCATATGCAACGAGTGAGGTATGATCTCCTGCAAGGATGTGCTACAGAATGTTTGCAAAAAATTGGCCAGAGCGTTGTCGTCTCCTATTTACATCCTTTGACCCTATTATTCAACAATTAATAAATGAAGAGGGTGGAGGAATCCACAAGCGACATGCTTCACCTTCTATTCGTGATAGAGGTACACTGTCTTTACCCAGTCAAGCCTCTGATTCGTCTAATCCACCTGGTTATGGAACATCTGTAATTGTTGCAATGGATAGAAATTCAAGTTTATCATCAGGGACATTTGTCTCCTCTGGTGTACTTCTTTCACAGGAAAAGTCACTTGGTAAGGATACAGACTGTAATTTTGAAAGTGTGCACGAAAGCAAACAGAAGGTCACTG